CACCAGGCCTCCCTGTCCATCACCAACTCCCGGAGTCCACTCAAACTCATGTCCATTGAGTCGGTGGTGTCATCCAACCATCTCATCCTCTGTCATCCCCTTCTCCTCCTGCCTTCAATCTTCCCCAGCATCAGGGTCTTTTCAAATGAGTCAGCTCTTTGCATCAGGTGGCCAAAGTATTGGAGTTTTAACTTCAATATCAGTCCTTTCAATGAACATTCAGGACTGATTTCCTTTAGGATAGACTGGTGAACTTTAGACCTGTCAAAAACATAATATTTCACATTTGGGGTAAAATAGACATCAGAAATGAAACAAGATTCATGTCAAAAAAAAATACAGATGACAACATCAATGGTCAGTGATTATATCAACTACTAACTGCAATATTGATTAGCAAAACACTCAGAAAAGAACTAATTAGTAAATGTGCAAACCACTGCTACTCTATGGAAATCTGAAAGGAGGTAATAAAAACCAAAATACACAGAAGTAACTACAGCAAATCAGTTCACATTCAACCAATGAATAATCCAAAGGTGGCTCTTACTTTGATTGACACATTGTTTCAGTCACAAAGTTCGGATACAGAACAACAAATACTGATTTGCTCTCCTCACACTTTCCATTCAGGGGAAATCGTAAATAGAATCAGGGTTAAAAGTGCTAAAGGTCACACGCTGATATTTTCAGTCACATACAATATATGAATCATTTGTATTGTCAAAGTGAATTAAAATACATAAACTATTTAGTTTGTATTAATCTCATATAACATTCCTACCCTAAGGCATAATTTGAATTCTTTACTAAGGTCTGTTTTAAAGTCTTAGTTGTATTAAACTTGAACATGCTTCTATGACTGGTTTACATGACTATGTGCCACATAGCATAGGTGACTTGTAGAAACACAAAATATTTCTGAAATTGAAGGAGATTATAAGGAATAAAATATTAGAAACAAGTAGTATCAAAAAGAGAAGGCTGTTATAAAAGGCTGACTTTATAACATAAAAGCAACATTGGAAAGAGAAAAATTCAGGTAACAATTGTTTGTTTTCTCAGTACCATCTTTTAAAAGTATATATTCTAATGACATTTTTAAAAAGTCAACTGATGGTTTGGACATCTTGAATAAACATTGCTTTTATGTACTCACATTTCTTAACTTTTTAGTTCTGCAACAATTCAGCCAATACAGAACTATTACCACTACCCCCAATCCTCATCTAGCCTATGATGTTACACAACACCAAAGACTGTGACGCATTAAGTAACCAGTTTTGTACCCAGAAGAATAAAATCTGATTTTAATATCACTTCAGTCTATTTCTCAAGTGCTTAAATTCTCCTGTTTAATCAAGATTGATTATTTGCATTTGAAACCTTAATATCATTTGGGAAAATACCTAACTTCAAAACAGTGCGTTTAATTTTAAGGCAAAGACCAAAAGCTACCCCATGACTTCAAAATTTTCCCTATGTAACCTCACACACCCCTTTCATATTCCCTTTTTAGGGACTAAAATTTAACCAGGTCAGTTCTGGTTCAAACAACCATTTCATAGGATTTAAAATAGGTATCTTGGGAGCCAGACTGAATTATTTGCTAAACTCTAATATTTTAAATTTATAAACTTCAGAAGGAAGATAGCTTTTGAAGCTGACAAAAAACAATCAGAGAACAGCAGTCTTTTTGTGCACTGCCCAGAAAGCCAGTTACAAAGTGGTCCTATTGTATTTCTCATAATTTACATTTACTTTTTTGGCAGAGCAGAAAGGGAAAAAAATAAGAAGTCAAACTTGGAAGCATACAACAAAAATGAAAGAAGGCACTTTTATTTTAAAATGTCCCCTTGACATTTAGACATCTACAAACCCAAAATTGAACATTTATAGGAGATAAAACAGTAAAAGAAATAGCAGCTGTTTTTCTGTGATGTCACCAAACAGGTGTGATACCATTTCATACCCCAGAAATTGGATGACTCTTTTGCTGATGCTCACAGGAGGCCCGGATGAGACCATATTGACCTGTGTTTCATTTCCTACAACTGGCTAGAAAACAACGCCAGGCCAACAAGAATCTTGATGACTGATCTGTGCCGATTCGGGGCAGACATTCTCCCAAACAGATCAATACTATCCAAGGTGCAGCTGAAAAACAGGATGAGCTTGTCTCACTAAACAAACACCAAACTGCTTATTCACAAAGGCAAAGCAACACAGCATTCTGTTTTCCACAGTGTGTTTGCCTATGACCTCAACCCTGACCTGCAGAGCTATCTTCTTTTCAGCAAGAAGTAATCCTGTATTGGGTCTGCCTCTGGTACTCCTCTGGTACGCTTGGTCACTCCCGTGAGTGGTGGCGTTTTTTACAATAAAAACAAGTGTGTCTGCTTTGGCCGAGACAATCACATGATGCCAAAGCAACTAGTCAATGTGGTGAACTTAGTCAAATGAATGGTCTGAGCACTTGGCATTATGTAGACAAAGAATAAAATAGGGGACTTCCCTGGTGGTCAAGTGGTTAAGGATCTGCCTGCCAATGCAAGGGACACAGATTTGATCCCTGGTTGGGGAAGATCCCACATCCCATGGGATAACTAAGCCCGGGTACCACAACTACTGACCCTAAGTGCCACACACAACTACTGAAGTCCACTCACCTAGAGCCTGTGCTCTGAAACAACAGAAGCTGCTGCAGTGAGAAACCTAGACGCTCGAGAAAGCCCGAACACAGCAACGAAGATCCAGCATAGCCAGAAATAAATGAATATTTTTTTAAAGAAACAAGAATAAAATAGGAACAGAATTTTTTCTTTTTACCCATCATACTGGAATTGTGCAGTCATACCTTGGGTTAAGCTAATTCAGAAAGTTCTTGTGATATGAGTTGTTTCTATATACACAAACTATCTGAATAAACCAAAAATTCAAAAATCCAAGTATCTTTTGATTAAACCCTCAAAATTACTTTTATTCTAATCTTAATTTAGCCACATAGACTAACCCCAAAAGTCATACTAGGTATGCTCTTTTTAATGTCAATATATTCTGGGTGCACATGTATAGTGAATGAATAAGTTAAATTATAATGAGAACATCCAAGTTACATCACTATTTTCACTGCTATAATGGTTATAAAATAAGAGGAAATTGTGGTCTTTAAAACGATCTTCCCAAAAGTATTGAGAAAATAAACAATGCATTAAAATATGATCCCACAGCCCTCTAGGCAAGATGACTTCACAAGCAGGAGTGAATTTAAATGGTTTGCATGGCCCAAAAGTGAAAAATTTCAGTTTCCAGAGGCTACAGAAGATTCAGGACCAAGAAATATACTTAAACAGGAGACAATATAAAATCATGTAATTACACTTGGGTCTTAAAACGTTTAATGGCTATTGGTAGCACTGCCATGAGATCCAACCATCTAAGATCATTTATATATTTAGAATATTGAATTTATTTTCCAACCCTAGATACACGTTTGATAAACTTTGGTAAAACAGAAGCTGTATCTTTTGCTGCTATTAAAAGACAAATCTATACCCATACCCCTCCCTGACTAAAAAAAAAATAGTTGAGTAAAAATAATTGTTAGCTCTCCCCTTTCTTTCAACCAAGTTTTCCCTGGGAAAGAGGGCTTGAAAGGGAGAAAACAAACTTTCCCTCCAGCACATTACTATATAAGCACTATATCCATCTGCCTGAATAAAGAAGAAATAAATTCAACTTTGGAACTCTGCCATAGAGTGTCGGCTCCTGCAAAGGGGACAGTTTGCTATTAATTGTTAATGTCGTCTGCCATTAGAGGGCACTAAACAACTCTACATTAACGCTGCATTGGAGGGAAGAGAAAGGAAGACGGGAAAAGAAAGAGGGGAGGGAAAAGCGGGGAGACTAGGAGCAGAGTCGGGGGAGAGGGAGGGAAAGAGAAAAGAGAAGGGGTGGGCGGACGGGAGGGAAAGAGAGAAGAGGGAAGAGAGAGAGGAAGAATAAATCTGGAAAGATTAAGAAGGATGTGGAGCCCCCAGAGCCGTCTGAAGTGAGCAAAAGCCAGCGCCCCCCCCCCACCTCCGCCAGGACCGCCCGCGCCCCTCCCCTCTCGTCCTCGGGACGGTAATTATAAAGCGAAAAGCAGCGGCGAGGTCACCCGTTTTTACCAGCCTGCTGCACCGAATACGCGCAGTGCAGGTGCGGCGGCCGCGGGGCTTTGTGATTCATGCCCACTTTCAAAGGGGGGCTTGGGCCCGTCTGAGAGGCACCCAAACAACTGTCTTCTAATATTAGCACGGCTGTATTTCGGGATCTATTATAGTCTGTCCAGACAGATCCCATTGTAATGGGATCTTTTATTAAAAGATTAGCACTATCTCCTGCAGTTGGTGGAAAAAAATCTGTTATCACTGAGTTATTTGCAGTTGTGGAGAGGGTGGGAGGCGGGTGGTGGAAGCTGGGGGGTGGGAGGGCGAGAGGAGGCGTGGTGGGGGGGCAGTCTGGCGGTGGGAGGGGGATGTAGGGGGGTGGGGGGCGAAGAGGGGCGGATTTGAAATCCGTAGAACAAAATCCCAGTGACCTGCGAGTGTCCAAGAATTTTGTCTGCATACTTCACTGTCTGTTGTTCTTCGGGCTCCAGAAGCGAAAAGAATAGAAATTTAAAAGGCAGCTTTGGAATAAACAATATAGCATTTTCCGTGAAGTAATCGTTTTATATAAAAGGAAATATCGCCTCCTCTGTTTCATTCAGCGGTGCCAAAAATGTTATAAATGAGAGACCCGCCAACTTTCAGCGAAGAATGCCAGGCACTGTGCTTAATAAACTGAGGCTACAGAAGTTCATTATCGATGTTGCAATCTTTTTTATTCCGCGAACCGAGAGAGAGAGAGAGAGGGAGAGAGGGAGAGAGAGAGACTGAGAAGGAGACTGGGAGTGAGAGAGACAGAGAGACACAGGACAGAAACTGGGGAGTCTCCGAGCCGCGGAAGGGGGGTAGACCGCCTACGTCGGCGCCCCCGCTCCGGGCTCCGACTCCTCCAGACGCTGCGAAGTGAAAGGGGAGAAAAGAAAAGGAGAGGGAGAGACTGTGACGGTGGGGGGAGGCCCGGCCCGAGGTGTTAAACATTTTTGTTCGCTTCTAACTCGTCGAGACGGAGGGCCGCGTCTCCGCCAGGTTCTGCCCCGGGTGGAAGGTGCCGTGGCCTGGGGTTCCCAGCCACAACCCTGGGCTCCGGGGTGGCCGCAGCGCTCGGCACGCGCAGACCCAGACAGACAACGTCGCGGGGTCCCGCGTCCAGGCTGCGGGGCCTTAACACGGCAGCGACCGGACCTCCGGCGGGGTATTAAGGCAGCTCGGGGCTCTCCGGGCGTTTGCGAAGTCTTCCTGGAGCGGAGGAGCGGCGTTGCGAAGACCAACTCCCGCCCTGCCGCCCGGCTCCGCTCCTCCCTGCCCGCCGCCGCCTCCAGCGCCCCCACCGTGCCAGACACACACACACACTCACACACACACACACACACACGCCACCCCGGGCGCGCCGGCGCTGCCAGCGAGCGGCGGCGTGCAGGACTTGAAGTGGGTGTTCTTCCCCACTCCCCACCCCCGAAGCGTCGCCCCCACCCCCCCGCGCCCGGGTCTCCTGCCCCCTCCCTCTCGCTCCTACGCAAATAAGAACTCGGCGATTCCCCTCCTGCCGCTTTGATTTCGGGCACCTCCACCAGATAATTGGGAAGGGTTTCCAGAAGGTGGGAAATGTCACCTGATTCACACTGAACTTTTAAAAGCTCCCCACCCCCAAGGAACCGCGCACACCCTCGCTCGCGGCCGCCCTCCCACTGCCCCACACACTGGGAGACCGCCCACCGCAAACCGCGGAGACCCCCGTCTAGATTTAAAGCGCGGCTGCGCCTGGCTTCTGACGTCCATTGAATCGCGCGGGCGGCCGGCGGCAAGCGCTGGGCTACGCCGGGATAGCTGCGCCCTCCGCCGCTCGCCTCTGCGACGCGCACCGCTTGCCAGAGCCACCCGCCGCCGCGCCAGCTCCCCGCGCCACCGCGCCCGCTCCCCGCGCCGCCGCGCTCCTCGCCCCGCGCCTGCCCCCAGGATGGCCCGTCCTAGGCACCAGCCCGGCGGGCTTTGCCTCCTGCTGCTGCTGCTCTGCCAGTTCATGGAGGACCGCAGCGCCCAGGGTAAGCGAGGCGGGATGCGCAGGGAGGCTCGGCGGAGGGCAGGGGTTTGTACTTTTCGGGCGTCTCCACCGGGTCTGTTCTGAGCAACTCTGTTTTCGGAAGATGTTGGACCAACTTAGCGAGTCCGGGATGGAGAGGAGTGGGAGAACTGAAGGCAGTGACAGTTAAGGACTGAGAACCGAGTTTGGAGCGCGGTTATCCTTTAAAAGGAAAGGGAGTGAGCTGGAGTCTCTCTCAGTAGTTAGGGTTAGATGCTCCAAGTTCTGGACGTAATGAGTTTAGATGTTATCTCCCCTGTTTGGCTCTGAAGAAGGGGACAAGCATCGGTAGCCTGAAGATTGCAATCGATCCATTTGCAATCTAACATCTCTCCCTCCTGCATCTTTTGGATACTTTAAAAAATGACTGAGTGGGGAGGGGGGAATACTGAAATTTCTTCGGTGACTGGGGGACGTGGTTTCAGAAACTTTGCCCAAACTTGGAAATGAGGGTGCCGAAAATTTTAGAGGGAAGTAGCTTTCTGCCTAGTGGATGCTGCTTCTAACCCCCTCCCCCCAACCCCGCAAAAAAAAAAAAAAAAAAAAATTACTCCGGACTGTTTTGAGAAGTTTACAATTTTTTTCCCTTTTGCCTCATTCCTCTGATTGTTAACTTTCTGTAGAACAGTGAGGAACCCACAATTGATTTAAATTCTGAGATGCAATAAGAGCAAATTTCTAAAGTTTTTTTTAAAAAATTAGATTTATCTCCATTAGTCTTTGGGCAGAATTTTTTGAAATAATAATAGGAGCTTGCGGTCCAGTTATTGTTAAAGTTATATGGATGATTCATGAGACGTCTTCCTGACCAAACTCTAAACATTAAAAAGGAAGGGGGGGGGGGGATTACTTGCAAAGATATCTCGGTAGGTATGATAGGGGTGTGTGTGTGTGTGTATGTATATGTATATGTATATATAACCGTGAAACGATAGTAAGTCCCCCTCCCACCTTGTTTCCCCCCGCCCCCAACCCCGGTACTTTTCTTGAAGCAGACTTGTAACTTTCCTGGCTTTAGCGTTATTTTATGCGTGTTGTATACGGCCCCCTGGGCACAGCCCCTAGCCTCCTGCGACGCACTACCGCTCTGAGTTGCCCACCTTTCGGAGCAAGGCGCTGCCTGGCTGCCCAGGACGTGGGCGCCGGGGAAAGCAGCCCTCGGAGATTTCGAAAGACCGCGGTGGCCGCGGGCGTCCTTTGGGTCTGGCGGATTGCAAAACGGCCCGTCGGGCGGGCTGCGCCTCGAGGCCGCGAGGGGCAGCGCCGGGCAGGGCCCGGTTGCTTTTTTGCTTTCATTTTTCAGAAGTGCCTTTTGCGTGATCTGTTGCTGTATGTGTGTGTGTGTGTGTGTGTGTCGGTCTGTCTGTCTGTCTGGGTCTCTCTCTTTATCTTTTCTTTCTCTCTCAAGTTCTCCTACTTTCTTAACCCCTGTCACAAATAATACCCATACCGCCTACATGAAACCGACATGTAAAAACATCCGTCGCATCCTGTTTTTGTCAGGTTCTTTAATCTGCTCTTCGAGTCGCTGCAGGTTATGAAATGGGACGAATAAAAGTAAACAGTCTAGTAAAAGTCAATGCAAGCTGCACGTGTTGTGTCTGGGTCACTGGTAACTGACATTGATATGGCTGGAGCGCCCGGGCTTCTCGCTCTCGCCCTCCCTCCCGATCGCCCACCTCCCACCTCTTCAGTCTGGTCCCCCCCACCACACCCCCGCCTTTCTCCACCCCTTCACTCCCTCTGATTTATTTTCTGCTTTTTCTCTGCCGTCTCTCCTCCACGCTCACTCCCTCCCCATCCCCGCCGGGTCTCCCCCTGCCGGCTCGCTGCCTCCCTCCTGCTACCCAGCCGGCGCCGCCCGCTCACTTGCCCACCTCCCCACCCCTGTCTCCCCGCAGCTGGGAATTGCTGGCTCCGCCAAGCAAAGAACGGCCGCTGTCAGGTCCTGTACAAGACAGAACTGAGCAAGGAGGAGTGCTGCAGCACTGGCCGCCTGAGCACCTCATGGACCGAGGAGGACGTAAATGACAACACGCTCTTCAAGTGGATGATTTTCAATGGGGGCGCCCCCAACTGCATCCCGTGTAAAGGTAGGGCTCTTCCTCCCCAGTCTGCAGGCCCTCAGTAGAGGGCGTCTTACCCTCGGCTTCCTCAGTGCCCAGCCGGAGTTTGGGACTGGAGAGCTTTGTTCGTGGGTTCCCCCTAACCACCCCCAGCGCTGGTAAGCCATTCGGGCTGAATCTTGCCTGTCACACACAGGCAAAACAAGGGTCGCCAGAGGTTCTCGGACTTCCTAGCCAAATGTGGCGGTGAAGCCCGCCAACCCTTGCTCTTTGAGGGAGATTCGGGTACCGGACGCAGCCCACTGTCCCCCACCCTTCCCTCTTCTCAACTTCCGAGCAACAGCCTAGCCCCTTGGGCTCAAACTCCTGGCTGCAGGATTGCGCAAGGCACCCACAGCCCTCCTGGCTAACCTGCATGGTGCCTGACCCTGGTTTTAATCCCTGCCTCTTTCAACTCCTAGAAACGTGTGAGAACGTGGACTGTGGCCCCGGGAAAAAATGCCGAATGAACAAGAAGAACAAACCCCGCTGCGTCTGTGCCCCAGATTGTTCTAACATCACCTGGAAAGGCCCGGTGTGTGGGCTGGATGGAAAAACCTACCGCAACGAATGTGCACTCCTCAAGGCCAGATGTAAAGAGCAGCCAGAGCTGCAAGTCCAGTACCAGGGCAAATGTAAAAGTAGGTCCTACCCGACCCTTCCTCCAGCCTCTGCTTGAGGTAGACCCACTGCAAGACCCTTGGGATGGGCAGTAATAGCCTAATAATAATAATACCAAATAAAGGAACCCTTTCTAACTTTATATTCTAAAGATTACTTAAGACACTAAAGGTTCAACCTAGAGTCTTAGTTTTCTTTTAAAAACTGCAGAGCTACCAAAGTGTGTTCCTAGCACTGAATGCTTCTGTTTCATGATTTCCTTGAAACTGTCCAGTGGCTCAGTCTGGAAGAAGGTACCTATTAACGTGTTTAATATTAATGTATTTCCCTCTTTGTTTCAGAGACCTGTCGGGATGTTTTCTGTCCAGGCAGCTCTACATGCGTGGTGGACCAGACTAATAATGCCTACTGTGTGACTTGTAACAGAATTTGCCCAGAGCCCACCTCCTCTGAACAGTATCTCTGTGGGAATGATGGAGTGACCTACCCCAGTGCCTGTCACCTGAGAAAGGCTACCTGCCTACTGGGCAGATCTATCGGATTGGCCTATGAGGGAAAGTGTATCAGTAGGTATTCTGGATTGAGGAAGGAAAAGAGAAAAAGTCTATAACTGTGATAAAACTGTGAGCTTAACCAATAAATAAACCCCAAACTTCCCGAAACTAGCTTCATCAAAGTCGGTAAACTGTCATGACCACCTTAAGGAAACCATTGTCTTCTGGATGCATTGGCATACATATTGAAATGCCAACAAGCCACAGGAAACAGTTTTCCTTCTTAGAAACCTAAGAACTCACTCAATTTTACACATTTTTTTTAAGTGCTAGACTTGCTGGAAGCGAGAAATAATTACTTAACAGTTCCTAAAATCTGTTATCAGATTCTGATAACTGATAGAATTCTTTCTTTTTTTAAAAGATCCCACTTGTGGGAAGTAATCAAATACATATTTCACTGAAGGATACTATGAAATCCTGTTTTAAGAAAATACTGCAATATTTTCATGCTCTAAGCTAATATATAGGAAACTGGGAGTTTTGAGTATGTGTGTGTTTCAGTTTTATAGGGCGTTTTTGCACAGTATTTCCATGAGCCCCATTAGTGAGTAATAAAATATGTTTTATATGTTTACATTTATTCATTTATTGATAGACTAGAGAAAGGGGACAAGGCGAGGGGAATGGAGTTACTCATCACAGGTGTATTATATTCTAGAAGCAAAGTCCTGTGAAGATATCCAGTGCACTGGTGGAAAAAAGTGTTTATGGGACTTCAAGGTTGGCAGAGGCCGGTGTTCCCTCTGCGATTCACTGTGCCCTGAGAGTAAGTCTGAAGAGCCTGTCTGTGCCAGTGACAATGCCACCTATGCCAGCGAGTGTGCCATGAAGGAAGCGGCCTGCTCCTCAGGTGTGCTGCTGGAAGTGAAGCACTCCGGATCTTGCAACTGTAAGTGTGATTTCTAACCTTGCTGCAGTTTAAGGATTTCCCAGGCAAGTCCTAGGGAATGGAGACTTCGCACGAAAACTTCCCCCAGATAAGCCCACTTCTGTTTAAGTTAGGTAGCTGATAAAGTGCACCAGCAATTCAGCAATCCACAAAAAAAAAATCACCTGAAATATTTCCGGGTCTTTAGGACTTGTCTGATCATCAACAAGATCACCTCTAAAATAGCCCAGTCCAGTCATCTGCCCCTAATTCCTTTTGTTTTAGTAGTGTGCTTTGCTGTTTGCTTTTATTAACACTTGAATCTGAACTAACTACTTCAAAGGTTTTTTTTTTTTTTCTTTTTCAAAGACAGCTTTCTGTTATCACACATAGGCTGCTGCTTTGCGCAGTTGCCCCTACTAACTAAATTAAGGACCCAAAGCAGTTATACCTAGAACACAAGAGCGCTTTTTATCTAATTTCAGGAATCTGCCCGTAAAACCTGAGCCATTGATTCTTCAGAACTTTCTGCAGTTTTTGACTTCATAGATAATGTTTCTAAAAAAAAAAAAAAAGTTTTTTTTAAAACTTGTTACATAACAGCAGATGCCAAAAACAAAACAGCATCTTACTGCAAGCCACATAAAAATGCAACGCTGTAATATGGCTGTTACAGAGGGCTTTGAAAACATGCACTGAGCTGCTTCTGCGCTGTTGTTGTCCGTATTTAAACAGCAGCTCCCCTGTATTCCCCCATCTAGCCATTTCGGAAGATACCGAGGAAGAGGAGGAAGACGAAGACCAGGACTACAGCTTTCCCATATCTTCCATTCTAGAGTGGTAAACCCTCCACCAGTGTTCAATGTTGACATAGCCTTTGGGCAAAAAAAAAAAAAAAAGGAAAGAAAAAAAGTAAAAGAAAAAAATACATTGTCCATACTGTAAATAAGTGTATGCCTATTTATTTGGGGGGAAAACTATACATAAAGGACCTTTGTCCTAAAGCTCTCTCCCAGGCCGCCTTGTTACTCATTGGACCCGGAGAGGCAGTCATTGTGAGGTCTACTGGATGAGGCCCATAGTTGAGACTTGTAGACATTTATTTATACTGTGTCATGTTTTATAATTTATACATAAAATGTCTGGTTGACTGTACACCTTGTTTTTGAAGAAATTTATTCGTGAAAGGAAGAGCAGTTGTTATTTATTGTGAGGTCTCTTGCTTGTAAAGTAAAAGCTTTTTTTTCCCCTTGTAAACCATTTAAGTCCATTCCTTACTATTCACTCACTCATCTGTCTCCCTTCATTTAACTGTGTGTCGTTAGACTCTTTTCCACTTTAACCAACTTGCATGTCAGTTTCTGTCCTGTTTATTTATTGGATTCTCTGCTGCCTGTTCTGTACATACCTGATCCCTCGGGTTTTGTTTACAAGGAATCTTGACTGACCAAAAGGCATTATAACTCTGACTCAGATAGCAGGTACAGAGGATACATCTTTGAGGAAACTCCTGTTTCTGTTTTCTTGTTGTGATGAAGACATCGGTGAGGCAGGTGGTGATAGCAATGTTGGGTTTCTAATCATGTACTTCCAAGATGTTACAGATCCAAAGAATTGAGTGATATGGGTGTCAGGAGCTTGAAAGAAGGGGAATGCTGTACATTCAACCTTATGTTAGGTGTTTCCTTTAAAAGCTAGTCTGCTGTACCTTTTCAATTAGTTCTTTTCACCCAATGCGTCATGAAAAGTATATCAAAGCTTTATCAGTTCAGGTTTCTTGCTTTTCATAATACTTTTTTCTGATGCAATTTTATATTTTCAAACATGGCAAGTTAAATATAAATTCATTTAAATATATAGTTTTATACTTTTCTACCATGTAAATGTGCAATGTATATAAAAGTTATAATGTGTATTTGTAAATAAATGATGAGTGAAAAAATAAAAAAATTTTAAAAAGCCAATGGTCTCAACTGCTGATGATGTAAAAGAAGTTGTTAGGACTTTTGAGTAAAAATGTGTATGATACATTCATTGAGAAATACAATTATCACTGAAATTAAGTGACCGGGGTAGTAAGAACTCCAAGGTAAATTACAGATCACCTCAAAAGGAAAAAGGAATCTGGGTCCAAACACCCCTTTGTAGTAGTGATGGCATACTTTCCATTCAGCACTGGAGGAAACTGTAGATGTCCCTCCGTATGTGTCAAGCCTAAAGTTTCCTCTTTAAAACATCATGTAATAGATATCCTTGTCCCAAGCTCATCTCCAGAACCAAAGGCACCCTTTCTCTTTCTTCATCTAAATAAAGTAGATCTTAAATCTTTAAACAAAGCACATTACAAGGAAAAGTAAAAATAGACAGATAAACCGCAGCGAAACCTAGGTCAGAATGTCAACTACAGAAATAAAGGCAGTATAATGTTGAAATTCTAGAGACTTTTTGAGGTAAAGATGGAGCAGGGGTGGATTTCCACAATGGTCATGGTTCATGGATAGTAAATAATGACACTTTCAAGGTAAGTGGACATGTATTAATGTTTTGCAGTTTGTTTTAGTCAACTCACACTACTAGAGCCTCAGATTGGCAGGTAGGGCATCAACTGGTTGTCCCAGTAATACATTGTAATACATAGTGATACATAACTAGATAATCAAGTTTCCAACTTGCTGTGCTACTTCATTGCCTAAGTATATTAAAAATATCAAGTACAAGATGCAAAGAAGTGACGATTAGAACCATAGGAGGGAAAGAGCAAAAAACAGTCAATATTACAAACATAGCTGAACCAATATATTCTTTCAAAGACTGTGACCCTAGTTCTTTCCAAAAGTTTATTCCTTTTGTGAAAACCCTCTAATATAAATAATTACAGGATTATAGGAGACCGTTGGCTCTCAACTGTGGTCACCAAATGAGAAATTTGGTGGAGGCAGAGGGGCCTCTTAGGTGGGTAGAGTTCATATAATAATTAGGAACCTGTCGGTGCTATTAGCCTTAAGCCCCCTGTTCCCAGAGAAAGGAGGAGAGGTGCAGAAGACCAATGCTGAAAAAAACCAAGGGAAAGACAAAGATGGGAACTTCTGTAGTGCCTGGGAGCTACTGGCTTGCCACTAGGGTTGAACACTCAGGGAGGGAAACAGCAGGCAGACTGGTTTCACATCCTTTGCTGGAATTGATTTGTTACTTCATCCTGGGATGCTACAGATGCTTTAGAGTTGTCATTGACATCAGAGTGAAAACGTCAAATTTAACAGGCACCAATGTGTGTCTTGGCAAGGGTGAGTGATAAAATCAACAGCTTGCCCTTTAAACAACATCCGGATTATTTATTTTAAAAATTTGTATTTCATAGTTGTCAGCATCAATCATTCACGTCCAACATCAGACAGTTTCCCTTTTTCCTTGTTGGAGTTTCTGACTTTCCCAGTAATCCTGTATTAAGCTAATTAGTACTAAAAAATAGAATTCTCTTTTAAAATTAAAATTAGGTTAATACCATTAGGCTACTGTTAGAATTTCAGTTAGGACTCACTGATGCATATAAAGTAATTAATATAAACAGTTACTAGTAACTAGTTTTAATTAGTATGAGTACATCCTAATCATTAGGAATTACAAAATAACAAGTAAAAATAGCAAAAAATCTATCACGGATCTAATTTTCATCAGATGTCCACTTCAATTAAGATTTTTATCTCCTATATGGGTATGTGTGCTGTGTGCTTAATCGCTCAGTTGTGTCCAACTCTTTGCGACCCCATGGACTGTAGCCCGCCAGGCTCCTCTGTCCATGGGATTCTCCAGGCAAGAATACTGGAGTGGGTTGCCATGCCCTCCTCCAGAGGATCTTCCCAACCCAAGGATCAAACCCAGGTTTCCTGCACTACAGGCATATTCTTGCATTGAAAGAATCAAAATTGGCAATGAGAGAATTTTTGACACCTAAACCATACCACCTGGGAAGCCCATATGGGTATAACAAAAATAAAATCTGGCATAATTGGAATCATTCTCAAACAATGCAGCACAGTGTAGTATTTGACCTTAGACAAGAGCCTGTACCCAAAGGGGATAGAGCACTGTATAACATTATGGCCACTGGACAATATTAGAATACTGTCCATAAATTAAAGCATTGTATCAGTATCAAATTTACTGAAATTAATCATTGTAATATGCATACAAGAGAATATTTCTGAACTTAGGAAAGATACACTAAAGTATTTAGGGGGAAAGACCAAAACGTATGTAATTTACTCTCAAGTGATTCACAAAGAAAAAATACAGTTTTAAGTAGGGTTTTTTTCCCCCTCTACGTGTATTCACAGAGAGCATACAAATAGTAAAAGAAGTAGAGTAAAATGTTAATTTGAGTGAAAGGTATATGGATATCTTTAATACTATATTTTTGCAACTTTTCTATAAATTTGGAATCATATCAAAAAAATGTTTAGAAATTAAAAAAATCATTCTTGGGAAGAGATGCACAGTAGGCTGCTTTTCCCAGTCTCTAGAAAAGCAACTGAAATAGAGTCATTTTAAAAATTACTTTACATGACCAAAAGACAGGAAAATAATTCCAGTGACTGCAAAGGCTAGAGAATCGAAATTGGCAATGAGAGAATTTCTGACCCCTGAACCATACCAAGAAACAGCTTTTTCTTTTCCATAGCCATCTTAAAATTTAGAGTAATTAGTAGCTTTGCTAAAGCACTGCCAACACCCAAAACCTCAGTTCTCCCCACTGCTTGCTATATATTAATTAGACAAGGAATTTAACTTCTCTGGGCCTCAGTTTCCCTGTATATGTATCCAGGACAATGAAAGTGTCTCCCTCATAGTAGTGTTCTGAAGATCAAAAGAAATAAGGTGTGTAAAGTGCTTAGATCTGTGCCTGGCATTTAAAAAGACAGCCAGTGAATATGTCCTCTAGGACTGTACTACTTGTTATTAATTAAAGAAAAAAAGGGACTTCCCTCATGGTCAAGTGGTTAAGACTCTGCTCTTCTACTGCAGGCGAGCAGAACAGCCAAAAGGAAAAAGGGTGGAATTGTGGTTCATCAACCTCTCTACCTTGGAAATACAATGAATGAGGAATGGCACCAATCAAGCCCAGAAGCCCAAGTGTAAACAATTTATTTTAAATTTTAAACTATTTTAACCACGTTAATATTTAACAAAATATCACGAAGTTCTAGGTGCTATAGCAAAAGTTCACAGTTCAAATAACAGATGGAGATACACTATTTTTCATGGAAATTTAGAAAAAATTCAATCACCCAACATTTCCAAAACCACAAAACGTGCCTTTTGTCTTTTCATTCACATGCCCAGCAGAATCCCTGGTAAGTAAATTAAATTAAATCTGTCTTTAACTTTGATATGATCTCCTACATGAGGACTACACATTCCTAAAGATAGCAATAAATTATTTCCAAGCGAGCAAAAATCCTAATATAATTCAAATATTGTACAATTATCTTGATATAAAAAGATGATATATTATTTAATTAATAAACTCATTTATTAAAAAACATTTTTCAAAACCTGGGTCCTAAGACAGGCACATTTCTGTTCTTCCCATCCCACTTTCCATTCAGATCAGCAAACAATCCTTCTCCAGCCAAAAGTTGTCATGTAAATAGACTCCAGGCATGCCTGCCCTGCATATTCGGCAGACCTGCCCAGACATGTCCAAATCCCAGCTTCAATTTAGCTGGAATCCCCCCATGAGTATTGGATGGTCCCTGGGTTTTGCCATCCTTGGACCTCAGATATCTTGGCTGGTACCATTAAGATTCCTGTGGCTGGGTCCTTCAGACACTTAAAAACATATTC